CCTGCCCCCGCAGCGCCACCCCGCCCCCAAGGTCAAGGCGCCGGGTGCGGCCGGGGCTGTGCAGCTGACGGGGAGGTCTCTGCGGCCCTGGAGGTCCCCGCAGTCAGCTGGAGCAGGCGATCGCCGCGGTGCCCCGCCCCGCCCTGCCTCGCTGCTGCTTGGTTCGCGTGCCCGCCAGGCCCCGCCGCCGCGTGGCTGCGCAACCCGGGCTACACCCGTGGCGGACGGAGTGCCTGCTGCACGGCGCCGCCTGGCGGGGCGAGAGTGGGGTGGCGGGGAGCCTTGCGCACTGCAGTGCTTTGCCGGGCTCTGCCTCGCTGTCTTGGCGTGTCACCGGGTGCTCGCCCTTCCGGACGTATAGCAGCATATCCGCAGTGCCACTCTGTAATACATTAGCATACCACGACTGTCGGAGCAGCGGAGGGAATGCTAGTCAGGCACTCTCCCTTTATCGCCCATATAGCCGACTGGCGGGCGGATTCGTAAACATTCCAGAGGAGTAGTTAAACCCCGCGCCGGTTAATGACGGGTTCTAAACAGCCGCCACCACGATGTGCCCTCTAGTCATCGACCTGCCGCTTGCACGCGAGTCGCCTCGCCTGGGCAGGACGCCGCCGTGTATATGAGTTGCGACTCACGTGGACCCTGGGCGGGCCGGGGGCGGCGCGCGCCATGACCTTGATAATGACCCGTCATGAGGCTTCTTTCTCTGACTAGCGTTGTCCCGGGCCAGGGGCGGCCAGGGGCGGCCAGGGGCTCTGTCGAGTGATCAATAACGCAAGGGAGGCCTATGCCCCCTGTACCCGTCGCGCCCGTCCCGCCTCGCCGCGCCCCAGCCCCCACCCCACTTACTGTAAGGAAAATCAACAGACACTGGTGGTAATTTCTGGACACGTCCGCGTAGTCAATATCTGATTTAGAGCGCAAAACACCCGCCTACCCTCATGTTTTTGACACCGACTGATCAAATGTTCCTTCCGTAGCTTTTTTGTGTGTGCCCTCACCGTACTAGGCTCTGATTTTTACATTACCTTCCATACAGAAAACCGTTCAGTCAAGGGGAACCAAATTCGAAACCGATAAAATTGTTGCTCTGTAATCTATGTTTTTCTTGCTGACGAAATTTAAGTCAAGCTAAGTTTGTTTCGGCAGGCTGGATCATACTTCGTTTAACATTAGGGAACTAAATTTCTGGCCGGTTCGGGAACTAGATTTATTCTCTACAACCCTGATTTGTCCGCGTAAACTTTGTAGTTCCCTGGGTTCAGGGTGTAACGTGTCGTGTTGTGTTCCAAGTATGCTAGTCAAGCCAGAAGCCAGGCGGGCGGCGGCCGGAGAAATACGCAAATAACTCAATCAATACCTGGGCGAGTATCAGACGGGTCTGTTAGTCTGTTGTAGCGCCGGCCAGCACCAGGCCAGCACGCTCCGCCGCTCCGCAGGTCAACTCGCCAAGAGACGGGCCGCCCTCACGTGCCTTGTGTTTTGTTACAGCAAGTCGGGTTCGCCGTCACCGCCGCTGTCACAGCAGCCGCAGTCGTCGCACGTGGACGAGCTGATCCTGGCGACGGCGCGCCGCCTGGAGCTGCCACCCCTGGTGAGACAGGAGGTGACCCTCGTCAGTCCGGGGTCGTTGGTGATGCCGACATCCTCGGCCAAGTCGTCGTCGGGTTCCATCCTGGCCTCCGGTCAGGCCGCCGGCTTCGTGTCGTCGCCGTCGTCGGCCTCATTCCCGCAGACCGCCGAAGTCAGGGGTAGCAGTGGCGGCGCGCGCCCGACCTCGGCGACGAGGAAGTCGGTCTCGATACTTCTGCCGGAGAAGGGCCACGTCTGACGGCGCGGAAAGCCGAGCGTCTCTTGTCAATTTCATATTGTGTTGTGTAAATATTTGTTGTTTTTATGATGTAGTGTGTAAACGCCGTTGGCGTGTCTAGTGTGTGAGCGTTATCTTGGGTGAATGAAAGAGTGAGGCTGAGTGTGACATTGTAACTGTAAGGGTAGGCTTTAGTGAGGAAGGACATTTCGTCGAGGAAATTATTGACTAGTCAAAACGTAAATAATGGAGGACGACTGCGAAGGTAGACAGCGCGGAGAATATTCGTACATTACAAACAATTTTTGTATGTGTGCTCATGACATTGTACGTACATTCTCTAAACGAGTATGGCGTGATGGGGCGTCCATAAGCAGTGAAAGGCTGAAGTTTTGCCTTGCGTAACATTTTCTTTGATAAAAGAAGAGTGTGGAATTGTCCCAAATGCACTGGAACAGTAAGTGTGTGAATATCGCACATTTGTAGGTGTGTGAATGCCAATTCGTACACTTAAGAGAGTTACGGTGTGAATGTTCATTTTAAATTCACCCATGTGTAAGATTGTCGTTTACACACACTCGTACAAGTGTGTGACGTTCACACACTTCGGTTACAGGTATGAATTTCGAGAAGAATTTATTTCGAAACAAGCCACTAGTTTCAAGAATATACGGGCATTAATAGAACAGAAGTTGGTTTAAAGTACTGCACAACGTAGTTCCCTGACGATAGGGAAAGCTTTGTTGCTTACAACTGATCGTTCCATCGTTTTAAAGAGAAAAACGAAAGCGCCGTCGAAGGACTGCTGGTCTTCCATAATTTTTGTGAACTAAATGCCATTTACGTTTGATGGCCTTTGCCCTAGATCGTGTTGTGATATTTTGTTAGGAAGTTTCCTTAAGAGACAAGAGTCAGATTTTAAAAAGGGATATGCGATCGAGGTCACGTAAGTTACTATGTGTTAAATATATGAATAATTTTTAGCATAAAATCGTTTGGATGGCGTTGTAGTCCACACCACACTGGTTTAAATCAGAGCCACGTAGGGCTGAAAGGATTTGTCTTCACTTCTTTTCCTAGGTTCGCCAGTTGGCTTTTGTTGTTTTCTTCCTTCATATTCATTTTCGCTCTCGTATTGTGCGGGAACTTTCGCTTTCCTCGACATCTGTGTGATAATATGTCGTTAGTCCCGTTAGTCCCGCAATGCGGAAGGGAAACGAAACAAGCACCTGAAAAATACTCAAATGTGTAATTGTAAATATACTGTTGTACGGTTGTACCATATAAATTGTTGCCAATTTAAAGCTCTTTAGAGCGTTCTTGAATTAATTTGTGAACATTTTTCATGGTATGCACCTTGACATTGTCACCATTTTTTTGTGTCGCTTTAATTATTTATTTAATCGTATGGCTGTTAGTCGCCATCGGCGATTACAGCTCATAACTTTTTCAACGTGAACGTTAAACGATTTTCTCTTGGTCACTGCTAGCGCTCACGGTGGAAAACTGATGAGAGCACAATATTTCACAAACCACCTTCAGACACAACCATTCATTTTCCGTTTTACAACTGCTTTCAATCATTTCTTTCGTAAAAAATTGTAAAATTATTTTTTGTTTGCTCAAACTAAAACAGTATTTGAAAGGGCTGGAGACTGCTGCTAGATACTTCCCTTAGTTGGTAGGTTTTGAGTAACATCTTGGTTATCAAAAAAAAAATTAAATAAAATCGAAATGGACGTCTAAAATAAGTTTGAATTTCTTTGTTCCTAAACATTCAATGAAATTTAAGACTTGTTTCTCTAATCTCTCCAGTTTTCGAGCATGTATGAGTTAGCTGCAAAACTAGAAAGCAAAACTTTTGGGAGAACCGAGACGGCCATTTCTTCTTCTCAAGTATTTTGAGACACTTTTCAACTCTTGCTTGAAGTACTTACATATCAATTTACGAAAACAGCGCACAATTCGAATCTAACCCAAATTGGTATTCCTATTTCATTTACAAAAGGACGCGATTTGTCATAATAAGTCTGTAAAACCTGTGCACTGGTCGAAAGCAAACCATCTTTATTTCTACCGCCAATCTGCGTTGAAAATTAGTTCCGCTCGATCTGATACTGACAAATTTCTACTGGCTTTAATACTGTGTGTTGCCCCTCACATTAAACTACACACATGAAACCTAGCCCCATAAACCGAGTTTTGTAAAAGGTCAAATTGTTAGTTGCTAAGTTTGGCTTGTTGGTGAAGAAGGTATTGGAAAAAGAAAGGTGGTCGCGTACCCCAGCAGCGCCAACGAACGCGCTTTAGTGCGTGTAGAAAAGCTCTCAAAATGTACAAACGCATTTAATGCGCATAATACGCATTGAATGTACTTACATTGTAATTTCAAATGCGATAATGTTCATAAAATTTTCTGCAATAATGGTCCAAATACGATTTCCACTTGTCACTCTACCAATGGATACCACTAAAATACTACCGTTCTAAACTGACTGTTGATCCAGAGCGACAATTACTATTATTTATCGCTTCAACTGGTGCTATGTGCAATGTAATGTGGAAATGGCGCTTAGACCGTGATTGCATTTAAGTTCAAATCGTCAATACACTAAATCTACAGTGTATGCATATTAAATGCGCCATCAAGCCCGGTGCGAAATGAATTTTTGTCGATGTCGAAACGATGTCGGTATGACATCGTAAGTCGAAATTGTGCACAAGTTTGAGTCCTTGACGACTCAAACCTGTGTCTCATTTCGACTTTCTACATCGTAAATCGTTACGCACTGGGAGGTCTCACGTTTTGTGCGTATTTCTACTCCTACTGAAGCTAAGTAAATTTCGTTTGACGCCTTTGTAAACCGTATCTGACTTGGCATCATCGTCTTTGATGACGGGTTTAGAAACAAATGAGATGTGATATGTAAAACTTGTATTTCTTCTTTCCTGCGCTGCGGGTGAGAATGAAGACTTACTTGTAATACAGCCATCTTTCTAATCTCTTTATTTTAAGTATGAAACCTTACTTTTAATACGTAGCTGTTAAAGGGTGACTTCCCTCTCGTTCGAAAAGCTGTTTATATTTGTGAATGGCGCTGCAGTCATTGTCAACTTTGTAAGACTAAAGTCGATTCTTACTGTCATTCTCCATTATTGCTTCACTGTTAAATATGTCGTCTGAAATTTTAAAAATGTTTTAATTTTTCTGTTCACGAAACTTTATGTAAATTTACGACATCCCAATCTTGGTCGCCTATTTATCTGAGGTCAATACGTAATGATTGTAACTCTACAATCGACATTTTTCATGGAAAACTTTTCTCTAACACGTACAACTATGCACTGTAAACCCAAGTGTGTACATAGTACACTCTTCCTTGTGTGTTGACAGCTCACACAAGGAAGTGTGTGCCTGGCATGGCACTCACTAGGAAGTGTGTACATGTGTGGCACACACTTGGAAGTGTGTACTTGCCATGGTGTACGCCATGAAGCGCGCACGCACTAAGAAATGTGTGCCACATACGTACGCCCTTCCTAGTGTGTTCCATACCAGGTAAACACTTCCTTGTGTGTGCTTTCAAGTACAGGCAAGGAAGAGTGTACTATCTACACACTTGGGTTTACAGTGTACTTCAAACTATTGTGAAATATCATACTGCTGGATTTAAAGCGTGTGACTTGCTCGCTGCTACACCGCAACGAAAGTTAAATGTGCGTGCACACCCAAAAGAGTAGTCAGTCAGTAGACCTGCGATGAGCGAGCTACGCAAGCTAAATTCCTACCTCCACCACCCTCCCACATGCGAGAAAGGGTCTAGCTCGGCTCGCATAGCTCGCCCTTTATGTGTCTAGTATATACACGACATGTGTGTTGTCATGAATTCTGGGATGCATGTATTGCACAAGATAGTAACGAGATAGGTTACCAGTATAAGTATGCACTTACAATGGTGTTCTTTGTAAACCCTTTTAAGTGTAAATACAGAGAGGCATGTTTTCTGTGAACATGGCTGTGCACGCATCATTTACGGTATGGCGGCACTGGAAAAAGATAGGTAGGACTTAGTGCCTTTAAAAGTGCTAAATTTTAATGCTTTCAGAGAGGCACAAAGTCTCCAAAGACACTTAAACTTTAAGGCATTTTCGTGCCTTCCAGAGGTGCGAACCTTTTCGTGCCTCTATAAAGGCACGTAAGTCATTAACACCCCAAGAAAGGCGTTAATTCCTACCTTTGTTTTACCAGCGGGTCGACGGGTGGTTATGAGGTCTGTGAATTTGACCTCTTTAATACACCGCCAGAAATGGCGATATCGTTTCGATATCGTATATCGCATTTGTGTCGCTTTTCGTGTCGCTATCGACACAAAAGTGGGCACAAAAACGACATGCGATATCTAAACGATATCGTTGCGATATCGCCCAAATTTCGGTATCGCTCCATTTCTGGCGGTGTAACCGCTCGTTGAAGTTCAGGAAGGGTGTGACAGAGCAAACGTCGGTGTATAGGGGCTTGCCCACCCTAGGCGCCACTATGCCTCACGGTCGGAGCAGAATACAAGCCTGCCCCAGCTGACATAGTCTCTTTTACGCCGGTCTAGCAAAATGTGTGTACACATTTTACTGTGGGTGGGTTTCGGATAAAATTTGTATATGAACAGTGTACCTAAAATGTTTGGAAGATGAGCTGACAAAGTTGACAGACAGTAAGGCTCTATCAGCCTAAGGATCCTAACACATTAACATTAGTTCTGCAGTTTTCATTGTACTTGGTACTATGGCCATTGTTTTCAGATTTAAATAGTCTAAATTTCTAAAAGACGTCGACCGGAACATTTAGAAAGATTTGCCATTGCTTCAGTCCCCTGGGAAACAGGGATCCCTTGTTTCGCAGGATCTTAACCAAACTTTCAATGAAACCATGGACCACTATTCTGTCGGTTGTTTTAGCGATGCTTCATGTTTTGGTCGGCATTTTGAGCGAACAAAAAGACATTACAATGTAAAACCATTAATCACACTAAATATAATGCAAAATGCAATGTTAATATGTTAAGATCCATAAGCAGATGAAGCCTATTATGGAGTAACAAATTGGACGAGTTCGAAGTTTCCCTTTTCTAATTTTTATTGAGTTTGTCTCTAAAAAGGAACGGCATTTGACTGATTGTGAGTTTAAGTATACTGAATAAATGTATAATTCTAAGCATTCCCATGTATATGGTTGTGTCATCTTGAGGTTGTCAGTTTTGGTTCCCATAACTAGCCAAGAGATTCATAAATGCTTTGGAAGTTTTGGCTGTGATAACTAATCAGCTTTGTTGCCAATGTAGTCTTATTTAAGAGTCCTCTGGCGAATTTGTAAATATACCTAAAGTCTGATGCGTTGAGCATCAATGCACATCAAGTGTTCTTAAAGTAGCACAGTGTGGAGAGTACAACTAACTGCATCAGGACGTCAAAGTAAACTTTCCAAGCATGTTAAGAATTTTCTGGGCACACGGATTTCTGTGAGGAACCAGTTTGTGCAACTTTTTTTTTCAATTAACTGCTATAGTTGTATATGTGTTTTGGTCAAAACTGTTTGATACCAAAGAAAATTAAAAATAAACAACTACCGCTCAAAAAAGCAAACGACTCTGCCCTTCACCTTACAGCACCATGCAACATCAGAAGGTAGTTAACATTTACTTTAACAAAAAGTTGTACTCCAGAGGGAGTACTACTCTCCTGCGGGAACCCGTGTTCATTCGAGGGGCATAGATCCTGTGTTTTGATGGCCGCGATCAGGCGGTGGTATCCGCTCCAGCCGGCCCGATGGGTCCATTCAACCGGCGAGCTGGTTCCGCCGATGATGTGCTATCCGCGCGATGTGCAAGGGCCCTGACCTGGCAGCACAGCACGGGACGGGGTGTGCCAAAACAACGGTGCTCCCAAAAGTCTTTTTCCCTGTCTTAGAAACAAAGCCATGAAGATGAGAGATAATAGAGAGACAATACACTCAGGAGGAAAAGTATCCGTAACGTACCGTAACGTAAAAATATTTCCTCTTTTCACACTTAGTTCCTTACAAAGAGTGGTCTTCATTTTACGAATGAGAGTTACGTTTGTAACATAAAGGATTGGAACCACCATATTACAAACGGATTTTCTTCGTATTACAAACAGTACCAGTTTGTTAACAGACGCGTGTTCTTCGTATTAAAAAGCCGAGCCCTTCGCAATTCAAAGTATTTGTTTGTATCACAGAGGTTCCAAAAACTTTGTACGTTACGAAGAGCACTTCTTTCGATGTGCTAGTTGGCCCTTGCCCGCCCACAGACACAGATCCCGGAGAATTTCGTGGTTATACTGAACCGCATGCAGCCAAGTGGACGGGGTTGCCTTCCGTCTCCAACCACTGCGTCTTATGGCCCGTTTTGTGAGTAGGCAACTCGTCCACACGCCTCCACGCGGTTGGATCTAGGACAACTCGCCCCAGTCTAACTTGCCCCGGTATAAAGTCGCCCCAAGACCATTTCGCCCCATACCCATGTCGCCCCAACGCTAAGTCGCCCCAGTTGAAATCAGTTTTTCACAAGGAATGTGAACTTCTATACAATAAAAGAATCCGGACAAGTTGTGGCCAATGGCTCTTAAGTATGTGACTACCTACGTCGTCGTCCTCTGTGTTCTCCACGTAGCTCACCCAGAAAAAGGTTCGGTTGATTCAATGGAAAGGAAATATTATAAAAAATTTTCCTTAACTCGACGGAATTTTATTGGTTCAAGGGAAAATATC